GGCACTTCAAGATTGCGAAGAAAAGTCAACACTAATAGAATCACTAACAGCCGACAACAGAGTAATAATAATAATAATAATAATAATAATAATGAATAATTAATTAACACTAACTGTAGGAATTAAGGAAGCAGCTGGATCATCATCAACCAGCCACGCCCACCACAACAGGTATTAATTAACACACTAATTAACTAATATGACACCTTAATGAGGTGTGATTATACATATACATGTACATCTACTGTGTAAGTATATTGTATCATTTAGCTCCTCCATTGAGTACTGAGTTTCATATGATGAGTGGAGAAGAAGGAATAGATTCCTCAGAGTCCCTAATGGAGGCCTTCACTCCTGAACTGAAGTAAGTACATGATGTTCGGGCACTGGTATGGTCGGCCATTATAGGGAGAAGATGTATAAACTGGAGAAGGAGAATGAGATACTCCGTAGACGAGTGACTACTAGTGAGAGCTCAGCAGCTGCTACTACCGACACTCAACAGGTGGAGGGACTCAGACTGGAACTAGTGGATAAAAGGTACAGTGTACATGAGCAAATTAATTATACATGTATACTGGTATTATAACTGTGATATAAATGTACAGATAATGTATAATTATTATTACTTTTATGATTTTCTTGCTGTTTCGTGTACTTTTATAGTTTGGAGATAGACAAGCTTAAACAAGGTCTTGCCAAGAAAGGCAAAGAATTGGAGGCGTTGTCACATTTCAGGGATAATTACGATCAGATCAGTTAGTACTTGAATATTAATATAATGCACACACGCACACACGCATGCACACATATCATTATAATGTGGCTATTTTTAGAATCACAGATAAAAGCCAAAGATGTCGAAATTGAAAAATTAAAGAAATATTTAAATAAAGCGAAAAAGGTATTATTTTATTATTATTATTTTTATTAATATTTATTATTTGTTGATAGATAATAGAAGGTTTTGGCGATAAGAAAGACGTAGCAGCTGACAGTGCTGAGGTACAGCAGTTGAAAGGATTCCTTCAGGAGAGGGACAGAGAGATAGAGAGAATGGAGGTACTGGATAAAACATGACAGCCTTGCCCTGACAATTTTGAAATTGTTTTCTTCTTTAGAGAACGTTTGAGCAGGAAAGACAGACAAGAGAGAAAGAGGAGAGACTCATATTATCCGCCTGGTATAATCTGGTAAGTATTGTATATGTACATGTAAAGTGGACCTTTTTAATTAGCTAATGAATAATTAATGAGTTTATGGGTGTATCACTATAACTATGAATAATTAATTAGTGATGGGTGTGGCTGTAATTAATGAATAATTAATGAGTACAGTTATTATTGATACTAGGGTGTTAAGTTCCATCAGTTGCAGAGTAAGGAGAGGTTAGTGACCCAGGGGTCGTTCCTAACTCAACAGAGACAGGCAGCGTTAAAGAGACACGCCCCCTCAAGTGGGGTAACGCCCACCACCTCATCAACATTCTCATTAAATTAATGATAATAATTAATGATTAATTTTAACTGCTAATATTTTGTCAACTATTAAAAAAATATAGTTCAATACACTCAAGCGAAGAATAACTAAATGTACAACTACAATTACATGTTCAGTATATGTTTTTGGTTATTAAAATATCAAAATATTATGCTGGAGGAAATTCAGTACAATAAAAAGTTTTTGCTTAACGAAAAGAAGTACTACAATATCCATGGGCTTCTCTCATGATGGGGGCACTTCGAGCTGCTTCTACATGTAATTAATAAGAAAATACACGTAAATGTATACATGTACATTATTATTGTGATACATTACTTACCTGGTGACCTTTTCCCATTATCAGTATTACTAGTACTAACAGTTTGCATGCTGGCACTGCTAGTAGTAGTAGATCTACTGCTTCCATCAGATGACACTGTAGCAGTAGGTACTGTAACAATACAACATTATGTAAAACAATTAAATGTGTACAGTAGAATCCTCTAGAGCCAGTTAGAAGCATTGTTATGATATCATGCTGATAGGGTTTGCCTGCATATTGAATACTGAAATGATAATTATTAGTGGTACAGTTACAGTAATCTGATTGCCCTGATGAAAAACCACTACATGAAGTGGTCAATATATTATTACTTTTAAATAATAGACCTCAAGTTCATTTGTGCATTATATTGTTCATCTGATAAAAATTGAAAAACCACCCCTCTTGTAAGACCATCATTTCCCAAGAGGGACTACTGTATCATTTTACAGTATCAGATATACTACCTACTTCTACTCATACACACACCTGCTGTAGACAACCAAATTGCAATACAGTAAAGTATTTATACTGCAGCTTAAATTTACAAAAAGATTTATACACAACATATTTACATACGAGATGACACAGGTACATGTTGTTCTGTGATTAGAGGACTTGTTGATTCTGCGATTGGGGGACTTGAATATGCTTCTACATCTGGAAGAAAAAGATAGTCTCTCAATATAATGCTTTGCAAATTATGCTTGTGCCCTAGGTACAGCATGTAGATGGGTTTCTAAGGCCTACAGGTTGGCATCATCATTACTACACCTCATTTAGAATAAAAGGTTTGAAATTTGTTGTAGCATAAATTTCTTGCTGGGTCTATTAAAGTACTGTTGGATAGTATTACCTTTGACTTCACTTCTCATAGTTGCTCCATGGTTTTTTAGCACTTCACATCCTACAGCTTCATTTTCAAATATGTCACAAATTTGGAGAAGACATTTAGTGGGATCATTGTGATTTTTAATCTTGTCCAGGAGGTAGTGAGCCACTTCACTGCCTCTTTCTTGATCTGTTGATTTTGATCTGGTTTTTGCAGCCTGAAGTTGTTGCTCCGTTATAAGGTCATCTGCTAATAGGAAGTCAGTAACTATTATGAAATTTGGCTCTTTCCCAAGTGCAGCTGTAAATTTGGGGAACATTTTCCGAAACACATAATAAGGTCTTGTGCCTAAAAGATTTCATAATTTACAAGGTCACTTTACAGTATTATACATAAGTATATACCTCCTTCAGCCATGATGATTTTAAATTATGCTGTGTGATGATGAGCCCACTGAAAGATTAAACCAACTAGCTTGATAATAATCATACCTACCTTAGTTCAGTAGTCCTGCCCATATAATAAATCTAATTTACATAATTTCAACTTTATAATAGCATCATTAAAAAAACTCATTTAGCCTTTTTCTACTATGTAAGTTATAAAACAGCTAAAAGCAGCATTATTTTTTTAATTTTAAGTTTTGAGTTTATAAAAAGGGGGACATGCATTTGCCAGCTTTGCCCTCTACTTGTTGTCAGTGATCACTAGTCAGATCCAATTCATATTTCAGCTGCAGAATAATAATTAAAAGAAGCATTGATGTATCTCTCCTCCTCTAACTTACCCCACAGGATCCCCTCAGTATATAAGAATCACCGAGATAGTCATATCCTTCACAATTGATGTCAAGCTTCTTGCCAAACCTGTACTTGCTCTCCATCTCCGTCTTACAGTCCCACTAGAAAAGGACAAGGAAAGGAAGGATCTTTACAACATGGAGAAACAAAAGTTTCCAAGTGCATGATAATTTTTATCTTAACTTTTAAATATGGGTACTATCAAGAGTAGATAATTATCTACTTTTGATATTATTAATTGCAAATTTTGCTGTTTGGGATAAAATAATACCAGCAAAATCTACCTTGTGCTAAAATTGCAAAAATTTAGTACCCACAATTAAAAGTTACTCTAAGGTAACTTTACTTGAACAGTATATCCATCATGTCCTGCATTAACACACAGGACCACTTTCGGTCTGAAACCATCACAACCGGCTGACCCGCCCACACACTCCAACTACACAAAGTAATACAATGAACTGGTACACTGGTGATGGACACTGGTCGATTACCTGTTTAATGGCTGGGGAACGTCTGGCATTGGTCATTTTACCTTCTGTAAGAGTAATGGCCGTCACCTCCCTAAGTAGGACCTTGTCTTCCGCTAAAATAATAATAACAGTACTATAGTGTAGTCTATGTAATAGCAATTAGAGTTTACATTCTATACAGTAAGGAATGTAATTTGTATTTGTTAAAAGGAGATGTCCGTGAGACTACTTACATGTACATCCATGAATGGAGACTGTCAGGATTGCTAGTAGAATGAATACTTCTTTTATCATCATGTTTCTTCTGGTAAAATCACAGGAATAGTTCTTCAGTTCAGTTGTAGACCTATATCTAATGTAATGCTCTCCTCTTCCTCCCTCTTCTCTTATATAGCTATACAACTACAGGAAATGACACACAACGTACGATACATTAGCTTGCTTAGTCAGACCCACACCTGACTAATACTCAGTCTATGAATATTCACTTTCAATGACAAAGCTATGTCCTATGATCATTTAATGATCATAGGACATAGCTTTGTCATTGAAAATGGAGAAATTCATAGACCTCTGAGTCATTGTTGTAAATGACAACTGCAAATTGAAAAATGCATTGATGACAAAACAAATTTTAAAAATAAACTGATGATGTAAGAACCAGAAGTGGGGAGTCCCCCCCAACCAGCAGGATCCAAATAAACAATAGAAAAGCAGTTTGTACTCACCAATCATTTAGCATACTTTACTGTGCATTAAGTATACAGGAAGGGCGGTGCCTTTGATGTACACATGCACTATACTATAGATTATGTATTTTTATAAGGATACCCAGCCATGAATGCCCATGATGACATCCCATTCATTTCATTATTGTCGTGGGTAATGTGACTAACGTCCACAATTTTAATGCATTAAAAATTATCTATACTATAGGGTGTCAAATTCCATCAGTTAGGAGAGGTTAGTGGCCCAAGGATCGTTCCTAGCTCAACAGAGACAGGCACTGTTAGGCAGTGTTAAAGAGGCACGCCCCCTCAAGTGGGGTAACGCCCACCACCTCATCAACATTCTCATTAAATTAATAAAGATAATAATTAATGGTTAATTTTAATGCTAATATTTGTTTGTTAGTTTTCATTGTACACAAGCAAAGATAAACTATTTTGAGTCGGTTAAAATATCAAAATAATAAAGGACTGAACGCAATATACGAATCTACGATAAACGAGTTTTTAAAGTATTTATGGGTGTGGTTCAACGTCGTGATGTTCCACCATATCCAGAGGATGATCTTGAGCTACTGCCACTGGATCTGCTGGAGCCCCACCCACCACCTCCACCAGAGCTCCACCCACCACTAGAGCCCCACCCACTCCCCCAGTTACTGGAACCATATCCACTAAATAAATAATAACAATAAATAATAATAATAATAAAAATTAATTAGTTACCCTCGTCTTCCCATCATATATCCCATTGCACCGCCAGTAGCTGCTCCTAATTTTAAATAAAATAAATAAAATGAATAAATAAGATTAATAATAATATCAGTTATACTGTACCTGACCAGAATCCTGGTCCACTATTGCCATGACCATAGCCACTGCTATAAGAAGAAGAAGAGGAGGAGGAGCCAGACCTATTGAATAAAGAGACCATATTGATCTACTCATTGTCTCTCTCTCTCTCTTTACCTTCGTCCAAAACAGGCCCCCAGACAGCAATAGATGACAGCTCCAATGATAACCAGTTGAATGAGAGAGCCAAACCAGCCTGAGTCTGAAGAGGAGCTGTTGTAGTTGTGGTGATGATGGTGTTCACCGCCTGAATAAAAGCTGTTCTTTTTGTGTCTGTGACCTTCTTCAGTTAGATCCAACTCATATCTCAACTACACAATAATAATAATAATGATGATGATGATAATGAAACAATAGACAGTGTTCCTCTCTCCTCCTCTATCTTACCCCACAGGATCCTCTCAGTACATAAGGATCATCAGGATAGTCGTATCCCTCGCAGGAGACGTCAATCTTACCAAACCTGTACTTACTATCCATCTCTGTCTTACACTCCCACTAGAGAGAGAGAGAGAGAGAGACAGGAAAAGAGAAGGAAATCAAAACAATGAAATATGGACAACAGGACAAGAGAGAGAGGGAGAGTGAGTGATTATTGTTTCCAGGTGGTTGTATCTTTTACTTGAACATCATATCCATCATGTCCTGTATTCACACACTGGACCACTTTCGGCCTGTAACCATAGCAACCAGCTGACCCGCCCACACACTCCAACTACACAAGGCAATACAATGAGCTGGTACACTGGTGATGGACACTGGTTGATTACCTGTTTAATGGCCGAGGAACGTCTGGCATTAGTCATTTTACCCTCTTCAAGAGTGATGGACGTCACCTTCTCAAGTAGGACCTTGTCCTTATTGTTGCCCCCTAAAATAATAAAGATAATATAAACAGACTAGCCTCTATATAATGGACACTGTGTCTCTGTTATACAGAGGTGTCCTTTATGTGGAGGTTATTTTATACAGTAAGGAATGTAATTGGTACACTAGGTGCTGTCCGTTAAATGGAGGTGTACGTTATACAGTAATTAATAATGATCTACTTACATCCATGAATGGAGACTGCCAGGACTGCTAGTAGAAAGAATACTTCTTGTCTGATCATGTTTCTTCTGAAGTCACAGGAATAGTTCTTGGATTTGAGTATCAATGTACAGTGATCTCCCCCTTAACCTTATTATATACTAACGCTATAGCCTAGGATAGGAAATGACAGAGCATATTTTAAAATATGAGAATGACAATGCTACCAAACTTACGTGCACCAATGAAGTTGCTTTCTTCTTCAATTCAATTAAGGGCGTGGTCACTTGCCTTTAATATACGGTATACCTATTCTTATTTATTCGAAGCCACGCCTACTTTCAATATTTTTCTCATCAATATTCATTAGATTAAATCCGGTACTAGACTAGCTCGTTTCTTGAAACTATTTCCAATTTTCCATTCCAATTCTCAATGGAGTAGTATCTCTGGAATGATAGTCTTTAGTGTATTAATAAATAATAATAACAACACTAGTAGTGAGTTATATACCAGTTATCTGTTTGTGTAAACTACCCTCTGCTTTCTGTCCTTAGGGAAGGACTTCAACTTCAATTTCCTCGTCATTTTGAAGGAGTTTTCTCTCTCTCTATTTGACCTCCTCTAGTATTTGTTGGACCGTGCTTTTATGATTATTGTATCCACCAGTGGAGAGAGCAAAGATGTCAGGTATGTAGTACCAAAATTAGTGATAATGACAATAATAATAATAATAATATTAATCATTAAATTTAGCTCATTAACTGGGTTTCCTAGCAATTAATTGACAGGAATTTTACACAAATTTATTTATAATTAATGATGTACATGTGATATGTACATGTACATGTATTGCAGCAGCTGGTATTTGCACCTCCACACTTACGGTCATCAATACATTTGCGTCACATTTTTATTGTCAATTATCCCAACTGTACTGTACTATAGTATAGTTTAACGTAATAGTTTGTCATTAATTTTATTTTCTCTGTCTTTCCGTCATTTTTCCATTTGTTTTTAATTCATTGTGTGTACATGTGTGTGTGTGTTTATCTGTTTATTCTGTTGTATTTACTGAAGCATCAAGTGGTGTGGTGTATCTATGTGTGGTATAGTGTAGTGTGTACTCATTTTATAGTTTATAGTGAAACCTGCTCAGTGTCAGCTTTACTGCTCTATGATAACATAAGATTGATAGTTTTTATCAACCTGATAACATTTAACATAAATAGAGAGAGAGGGAGAGGGAGAGAGAGAGAGAGAGAGAGGGAGAGAGAGAGAGAGGGAGAGAGGGGACATTAAAGCAGGTAATTAACTATGTGTAGTGTCTTTAGCAATACATCTAAAAGCATTGTATGATCATACATTACATATTATATATTATGTCTATCTGATTGTAGTTGTACTAATATTATTATACATTATAATGAAGTGGAGGAGAGCCAGCACTGGAATGCACTTGTATTGTTCATCAAATAATCATCACCCACACTAATCTTCCCTTACCATTTTTATAAATATATTTCTTGTCTCTCCTGACAGGCAGTGAACGTATCATAAACCTCCTCGGTCATTATCGGGACAGGCTCAAGCGTAAAGGAGACTACAGTGAAGAACTCGACTATCTAGTTGGTATCTTAGAGAGTCCCTTCATGAGAGAGTTCTTAGAGGGGAACATGTCCCGCGAGGATACCGATCACTTTAATGAAGTGACGTCAGAAGTCATATCAGCACTGGAGGAGCAGGAGGAGGAGGTCCATCTTTCACCTGAGACCCAGCGTAAACTAGTTCTAAAGAGACGGCAGTCTTTAAGAGCTCTTAAACTAGCAGTGACTCCTCAGTCATCACCCCACATCACTCCTAGGACCTCTAAAATATCTCTTACTAATAACCCTCTCCTACAGCATCAGTCCAGCAATGACTCACCTCTGCTTAAGAGTGTCATGGACACTCTTAGCTCACGAGAGAGTTCTTGTGAGCCGTCCTTCTCTCTCCTCTCTCCCTCTCCCCCGCCAACCGAAGGAGCTACAGTCCATGATGAACCCAGTTACCATGACAACAGCGTCAGTGAGAGAAAGGAGAGCGTTGCTAGCTCCGTTAGTAGTAATACATCCCAACTGACTGTACTGAGGGGCGGGGCTACAGATGAAGCTCCTCCCACTTTACCATCATATTCTGAAGCCTTTAACATGTGTAGACGGACCAAGTCCTACGAGCGTTTACCAGCCACACCTCCTTACCCCGCCCCTTTAATGACCTCCGGAATACCGACGAGTAACACTAACACTTCACAGACCAGACCCAAGAGTGTTACCATGGTAACTGTACGCCTCACGAAAGGCGACAGGGGGCTGGGGTTTAGCCTCTCCTCTCAGCGAAGAGGAGGGAAAGATAATAAGATATTTATCGGAGACCTACAGCCTGGGGGCGTGGCTGAAAGGGACGGTCGAATCATGAAAGGTGATCAGATATTACATATTAATGGACAAGATATCACCAGCATCAGTTATTCCACTGTTGTGGCTTTATTACAGCAGGCAAAGGGAATCGTTGAATTGACGTTACTTCGTTCGGACGGGGCCGTACCCTCTCCTATCAGGACCACACCCCCTAACCCATACGAGGCTTATTATAGAAGAGAGTTGTATCAGCCACACCCAATGACCCAACCCACCACTACTAATAAAGTAAATTAATATTTGATAATTGTGTGTGTGTGTGTGTGTGTGTGTGTGTGTGGTTAATATTGTATTGCTCATTGAATCATGGCTACTACTGTATAGTCATTAAGTTACCACAAGAATGCGTCTTAATAATATAAAAGTAATAATTGATATTATTTATTTATTTCATTCTGATATAAGGTGTCATTATCTGTGCCAGCTGGTATGATAGAATGTGCCTGTACCTGCAATAATGGTGTGTGGGGACGGGGGCTATTTTTAGATCATTTCTGCTAGTAATTTGTTCTATATTTAGATCAATTTTGTTCCATTAGTCATTCCTTTTATTAGTCCATTAACTCATTAAGTTACTGCATACCAACACACACACACATCATGTACCGTTACAGCTGGTAATTTCGGAGGAGGACATTTTTGCAAATTTGGCATTATACATGTACGTGTATAATAACCATAAATATACTAGACATTAATGATTTATAATGTACCTGCACTTGTATAGGTCATTCCTTCTAAGCAGTCTTATCAACAATATAATCAGCAGCAGCAGGAGCAGGGGCGGGTTCATCGTCCCAGTACGACAGATTACAAGCACATCGTTAGTCTAGAGGTTGATCAGGACTTGGGGTTTTCGATCATCTCCAAAGACGGGATCACGTTTGTCCATGTCATCACACCAGGGAGTACCACAGAGAAGGTAATGAATATGGACAATAATCATAATCTTTATCTTGTACTGTAGGACGGTAAGCTAATGTCTGGAGACCAGCTGCTATCAGTTAACGGTGAAGAGGTCTTTGGTCTGTCTCATAGCTCAGTGTTGGACATACTCCAGTCTTGTAAGAGGTTTCCGGATCAACCCGTCAAACTGGTTGTATCCCGTCAGACGGGACCAGGCCAGGTGGAGGAGGCGGAGGAAAGCTTCTCAGATATTGACGTAATATTAATAATAATAATCAATTTATTTATTAACTAATTTATTTTATTTTTTAGTCATCGTCATCAGATACTGAGACAGTTGAGGTACAGCTGGTAAAGTCAACGAGTGGGAGGGGCGGACTAGGAATATCAATAAATGCACTTGTTAACGACCACACCGAAGGTAATTAAGAGTATTAATTAATTAATTAATTAGTTATTTATTTTATTTTATTAGAGGACAAAGGGATATACATAAGGGCGGTTCATCCAGAGGGTCCAGCTGCTTTAAGTGGATCAGTTCATTGTAAGGACAGGATAGTATCAGTGAATAGCCAGTCACTGAGGGGACTATCCAATAAAGAGGCGGCAAGACTTTTAAGAACAGCTGGAGACAGTGTACGACTGGAACTGAGACGAAAGAAGAGAGAGAAGAGAGAAGGAGGAGGAGAGAGAGCGGAGGGTAATGTTGAAGATAATAGAAGAACAGGACAGCTGGAAGGAACTGATGGTGTAAAGGAGGAAGAGGAGGAGGAAGTGGTTAATGAGAGCGGGTTAAGGGTGAGGAGTCCTCTCTCACCGTCCGTTGTACAATGGGGGAATATACTAGGACCCGATAAGGAACTGATAGTGAGTTATGGGCGGGGCAGTGGGAGGGGCTAACATAAGTTAATGGGTGGGGCTAATAATAAGTTAGTGGGTGGGGTTTAAATTATTATTATATTCATAGACTGCATACATACAGAAGACTGATGATAGTAAAGGCTTAGGGTTTGGAATGGAGAGTATTGCTG